GTGCACACCTGCGATCGTTCATTTGAGTTTATTCACCAATAAGCATTGCATTTTGGCGAATAATTGATAAATATATCATACATTACTGTAATAATGGAAAAAGGTACAAAATCTCCTAAAARTAATGACATACGTTAGTAATGGGATGCTGTCACACAAAACCTATCACCTGTTTATTGACTTATGCCTTTTTTCTATAAAAGACTTTTTTCGTGCAGCTGTTCGCATAAATAACATTTGTGACACGTCCTGTCAAATACATCCCACATGCACCAATCCATATACACTATTTGATAACTTTGACCAAAGTCAACAATTCCCTAATTATTTTCTAGAGTATTTCATCATCCTGCTTCTGTTTATGCAGTCGATAAACTGTAGTAAAGTTATCGATATAAGCATTTGAKGGTTTTGGTTTTGTATATATATTGGTTAAGAAAGCAACACTGACAAAGGGACTTTCCAAATGATTAACACGACCCTGAATGAATGCATCATAGAAGAGTCTGCGAAAACTCTCCATAAATTCTTCATTTTAGGTGTATTGGCAATGGTGCTGTGCATCCCTCCAACAGTCTTATTGAACGTGTTAGTTCTAATTGGTATTTACAAGACTCCCTCCTTACATACACCTAACAATGTTCTCCTGTGGGGTTTGGCTTTAACCGATCTCGGTGTAGGTGTTTTGGCGATGCCTCTATTTACAGTTAAATATGTTGCTTTTTACACCAAAAATCATGGTTTATGGTGTGAAAGTTTGGCATTGCTGACAAAAGTGCTACAGCCACCATTTTGCGGCATTTCAATTGCAACTTTGACGTTAATCAGCATCGACCGTGTGATAGCCCTTAAGTTTCACCTACGATATGCCAGCATGGTAACCACTCATCATTTTACAGCAGCGCTTGTTATCGTTTGGATAATGGCTTTCACCATCTGCTTGACGTATCTGATTAACGTTAATATCATACATTGGTCTACTGTTTTTATATTCGGTGTATGTCTAATAATCTGCAGTTCTAACAACACTTTTATTCTTCGAACTCTCCATCGTCATCGTGTGGACATACAAAGACAGCACGACCAAGTGCAAATAAATGTGCATAGCGCGGAGATGGCTCAGAGAAGGAAATCATCTCGCAACATGTTATGGGTTTATTTAATGTTTATTGTGTGCTACGTACCGTTTCTAGCAATGAGAACAGCAAGGAACTACAATGGAACCAACACGGATATGCTACATGCAGTTTATGAAATATCATACGCGCTTACTTTCCTAAATTCCTTGATCAATCCCGT